CAATAAAATATTACTTTTATATACGTTGATTTGCTTGCTCACATACACGGTTTGTACATCATACACATTTCCACTGCAATATATTCTATCAAGAAGAAAAAAAAAAGCATTGTGTAAAAACTGAAAATGAAATGTTTCTATTTTTCTTAAAAATAAACGAAACTACAGAAGCATATCAGTGTCAACACTGAAATGAAAATGTAAAATGGCAATGTATTAATATGTTTGCATGTACATTTCCCACTCATATATGCAAATGTTGAGCTCAAACAGAAAATTCAAATTTAAAACTGTGATTTTAATTGGCCATTTGATTCACTAGTATTGACATTTCATTTACACAAAGATTTAGATGCTTTGTGAGTAGCTTTATTATTTCCTGAACTTCATATTTATGCTTAATCTGATTATCCAATAACTGTGCCAAAATTATAGTTAAACTGTAATTTGTCTGATATATCACTCTCTAATAATGTATCAAAGAGAACACCAAGCTAGAAAGCGGGTAAACTTCCAGTGTAAATGGGAAACAGCGCCTCTCCTCTTTGCAATTACACATTCTCACCTACTGCGCTCATTCTTTGTCAAAATACCTTTGAAAATGCATTCGACCCGACTGCATTTTCATTATCAAGACAAGACTTGCAAGTGGAGTCAATACAACTTAAAATATATTATTACAAAGGAATATGGTATAATTATATGTTCAAAGTAAAGGAACTGAAGACACAGCCTTAGGGTACCAACACAGTGACATAAAGGGACAGTTTAGTATCTTTTTTCTGAGAGTGTATACTGGCAGTTGTGTGCTGTGACAGTACTGCCGTAACAGTACCAGTACCACAAATTTTGTTTTTGCAGAGTTCTTTACCTGCAGTTAGACAGGATTGTGGTACTGATTTAACTTGGTGTTTGGGCACAATAATTAGCTAATAAGTATTTGGGCCACAACTGAAAACTCAAAGGATCAGTTTCCAAGACCAAGATGAAGCCTAAGGCTATGCTCAAAAGATTTTCAAAAGGAGATTCACTATTGGCACTGCAATCTAGTCTAAGACTAGATCAGTCCATGTCTGTAAAACCAGCCCCAAGAGTATCACACCTTCAAGCTTAGACAAATTCTTGACAGCTAAGTACATCAATCTCGATTTTTTGCGCATCGTAAAGCACTACTAGTCTAAAAAAAATCAGTACCAGAGCTTAACATACATGTTGTTTTGCGATTCAAGGTGAAATGTTCAATAGAAATGATGGAGGCTGGGAAATTATAGGCATGGTTGATAGAACCTCACAGACCATGACTCACACAACCCAATATAAGTGCATTATAGAAAGCACTCATTTTGCCCACATCATAGGCCTACAGACCATTATTCTGTGTCATCTACGTTATATTGAGGCTTAGTTCATTAAGTCAAGGACACTCAGCTTTAAGCAGTGTCAGGATGCCACCCAGTACAATCCAATTATCGTTTCTTCCTCATCTTAACAGAGAGGGTAACTAATTCTACTTCATATTGCCCTTTGATTAATCAACGTTCTGTTAGGAGCATATTTAATGTAAGGTCACTAATTGAATTACTACGATGCAGCGTAAACAATCAATTCTGTGCCTATGAGTTAGATGGCAGCTATGCAGAGGATTGCAAATTAATTTACCAAAGTGTGGGGTAGAGAGCTTCTGGTACTTATCCCATTCTGCTACAGGAAGTTGGCATGCCATCACATCTTCATTGGCTGTTCTCCATTCCGAGATTACTCTCTGTCTTTCTCTCTCTCTCTCTGATCCTCTGCTTAGTAAAGTTCACAAACACAGAAAGGACCACACCGCACATGGAGCACTACATGCATCCACTGCTGTCAGGCCTGATTTTCTATGCTGGCCTTTAGTACCATTCGAATACACAGAGATCTGAACTTGTCTTAGAGTATTTGAATAAAACATGCATAGTTTCAAATGAAAAATATAAGAAATCATGCATTATCTTGTTATTTTTCAGTGTTTTTGACTGAGTATGAAGCGTAGAATCAAAGAGAATACCAGGACCTCATACAAGCAGCTGATGTTGTGTCTTGTGTAAAGAACGGGGGGGGGCACCACAGAGCAGGTATTATTTGGGTGGTGAATCATTCTCAGCACTGCAGTGACACTGACGTGGCGTATTTGTGTGTGTTGTGCTGGCACGAGTGGATCAGACACAGCAGTGCTGCTGGAGTTTTTAAACACTTCAGTGTCACTGCTGGACTGATAATGCCAATGGCATCCTGTGACCACTGATGAAGGACTAGAGGATGACCAACACAAACTGTGCAGCAACAGATTGAGCTACTGTCTCTGCAAGGTGGGCCAACAAGGTATAGGTGTATTTAAGAGTGGACAGTAAGTGGACACTCCAGCAGCACTGCTATGTCTGATCACTTGTACCACACACTAACACACCACCATGTCAGTGTCACTGCAGTGCTGTGAATGATCCAGCACTCAAACAATACCTGCTCTGTGGTGGTCCTGAAGAACAAGGTGAAACAAATAATTCTGGGTAAGATGTCTGGAAACTATTTGGTAAAAAATTCAGATACATGTTAAAGGATCACAAGAGCTTCTTAAATACATTGAAGAAACAGTAGCTTGCCATGATGGTCAGGGTTAAATGGCTAGGTGAGCCAAGAACGCTAACGTCACTATCAATTGCTGCTGGCTGGTATATTCTCTGTGTAACTGACAGCTCTAGATTTCATTCATTTGTAGCTATATTACTATTGTATAGCTATATCTATGTTTTAGGACGGAAATGCTGGTTTCAGATCAGCACACTGGAACAATAAGGCCTCAGCTTCCACACTACTAGTCATAAATAACCCCCTTGGCGGTTGATGGGCCATGTGATCCATACACAGCATGTTGGAAGGAGTGAGAGAGGCCAGTGGATGATGGACGCACCATTAACGGGGTAATGTGGCTTTATCAGTCTATTAACACCCAATCGTCTCTGTTTAAAAGTCACAGAGCTGTGCTTTGGATGAGGTAGACCTATTTGTAGTGTGGTACATCGAGCATGAGTGCGTTCGAAGAAGAGCATGGAGAGACTGAAACTGCTAATTGCTCGGATCCATAAAAACTGGATCATTTTAAAGCAATAAGGCAAAAAAGGAATAATGAATCAAATAATTAAAGTAGTAATGGGGACGAATTAGCATTGTGTCATTTGAATAATGCTAAATGTCTATCAGTTCAGTTCAAGATCAACAATTATAAACAGCGATAAGTAATTGTTTTAGTATTGTTAAGTATTGTTTTAAACCATCAGTCTTTAGCAATCTTTTCTTAAGATTGGATAATCAACGATTTTGATTAAAATATACTCAAGCTCGCACAATACTTATTCTTTATATATTTACAGAAGATTTTGTTTTATTAGAGGGATTTTATTATCCATAATATCCATTCCAACAAACTAGTTCAAACTGCAGTCACACAGGAAATAAATATTTGAAAAACGATCAAGTAATATTTACAAGGATTATGTTACGATAATTGAAACCATCAATTAAAGCATTAATCGAGGGAGTAAATATACTAAAACTGTACTTTACAAAATGTATGCAAGATCTTTTCGAAGAGCTCTCTGATTTGTTTTAAAGTTGAAAGATTTAGATTTATCATGAGTTTCATTGTTACTTTATTCAAAAAATGCTGTCTCACATTTTCATGTCATGTTTTAATCCATAGGCGGTGCAGGAAGTGATTCTGCATCTCTGTCCCTCGTGGCCACATAATGACCAGTTAGATCCCACTGTTTTGAAGTAACTGTGTCTCAAACTTTGAAAATCAGTGTGTAGCATTGAGAAATGTTACGATTGAAACACATTATATGCAATTAAATTAACTTTTTTTGTGTTTTAAAAAAATATTATGATTTTATCTGAGCACAGCTGTTAAAAGCTGTTTGCTAGTTATGTACTGGCTAGCATTTTTGAGTTCCTCTCAAAATTATCTAAAATTGTCACTCCTGAAGTAATTAATTTAATAATCAATTAATAATTTATTTAAATAAATTAAACAAGGTCATTAAGGTCATTCAAAGCAAAAGGATTTTAGTCTAAAGTCAAAGTCATTAAGAAGTCTGAAATGAAACTTTCAACTCTGACTTGGGTAGAGTGGTCTATGTACTGTACACACTGGCAGAACAGGAATTTTGATTTTGATACTGAGTGTAGTATCACAAAACCCAAGCTATTTTATCCATGACCACCTCTCTCTCAACTCAGGATGAAACACTTTACAGAACAAAACATTAACTGAAATTAACGAATACAAACATCAAGAGGTAGAGCAATTGTACCAATCTGAGAGTATGAAAAGTATGTAAACAGCAAGCTAATTCAAGATGCATGATTCAAGAATTTATTGCTATACGCACAGAGAAAGACTGCACAATGAAATTCTTACTCTAAAATTACTCTGAAATTCTCCCAGACTACACGTTACTACACAAACACTATACAAATATTAAGAACTAAGTTTAAAAAAGCAGAAAATATAGGAGGAGAGTGAGATAAATATGTATCAAATTGTCTATACATGCAGAATTACTATTAAAGTAAATAAATGTATAAATGTATATGTTAATATCACGTGAAATAAATCTAACCATCAATTGTTTTTCAAGCTTTTTTTTTATCAAGCGAGCAGCAAAACAAATTGAGATGTCCAGCTATGTGGTGTGATTGCACTAAATTATCAGTTCTATTGTTGTTTCTTTGTACATCCTTAGCATCACCTTTGTGTACTGAAATGTGGTGTGTTTGGAATTTTATACCGTGAGCTGAACTGTAAGCTGTCAAACTGCGGATTTCAGCGTAGAATCATTATACCAGAACTAAAAACACTGACTGTATGAACATCTTTCACAAAACAAACTGCATCATAGATGAAGCCAAACACTCATTATCTACTTTCACACTAAGCAGAACATGCATGTTCATTTCTGTGCTCTTACCTCCACAAGGAGCTCTCAGTGACGCTCCCCAGGTTGAAGTCGTACAGCTTGGTCAGCATAAGAATTACCTGAAAAAAAAACAGGACCATATGGTTACTCCGTATTATGCGTACCGTATGGCACACAGGTAAAGTGTGATTAATATATTTGCATAACTAAGAAAGGTGATTATCTTTGTACATGCTAATCACATAATATCTCTGTAACTCGCTGTACTGTATATATTATATCATTTACAGAGGAAAACATTACTCATTCACTTAGAAGACAGAAGGAAGACAGTGGAATTCATTTACAGTATAACACAAAAGGTAGAAGGTGTTCTCTTATCTGAGGTTTAAAAAGGCCAAGCAGCAAAAATGAACTGAATTATCAAAATTTCCTTTATAATTTATTGGAAAATGATAAAATAGGAAGCGTTTTAAAAATTATAAAAACATTATATTGCCAAGAAATGCCAAAAAAGCATTTTCAGAGATGTATAGCAAACTTTTTGAACTGGTGGTGCTGGAAAAGCTGCAATTGTTGTAGCACAAATAAAACACTGCAGAACTGAGAAAATTGTCCATATTCTAAAAAGAGTTAATCTTTTTAGTAAGTGAACACATTTTCATAGCAAACTGTCAAAACCAGAAGCAGCATGTAAAAGGTTTCACTTTTAATATTTATTTCGGAAAATGTATAGAGTATTTATTTTCTCCACAGCAGTTCATTTTCCCTACAAGGGGTCTTATTAGCACACAATTAACATTTAATTTCAATTACCATTTTGAGAGGGAGGAAACCCACACTAGCAGGAGCTCCAGGAATGCACTGAAGTCACAATGTTGAAATGGAAAGGCAATTACTTTATCACCTCAAAACAAGCTTCCATGACACATGTGATTTGTAATTAGTTGCTACTAAACCAAGAAGTCGATTAACTCCCAGTGATTACAAAATACAGGGCAGGAAACTGGATTTAAGGTCCAGATAAGGATAGCAAAGACAAAAGGTGCAGCTTCTAAACACAAACTTGCTTTTTTTTCAGAATGTAAACAGTGAAATCCTGAAACATAGCTAAATTTTACATATGACAGTACAGCCCCAAATAAAAAAAAGCAATTTTTTTGTCGAGGCACTTTGTTTACAAACATTTAAATGTGATCTATAGTGTTCAAACTACCTGATGGACTACAACTACCATAAACGCTAGAACTGAGCCTGCTGTACTATTCACATATCTAGACAGGAAGAGGTGGCTTGAGTAGTGGGGAAATATTGCTCAATGCTGCGCATGCCTACTAGTGAGAATTATGTAATTGACTTATGTAAGCACTGGAATCTGAATGGAGAAGTTACATAGGTACATAACACAGTTCTTTCGCATGCATATGCGATTGTGCAGTATCAGTTTGTCCAAACATGTGTATCAATATTAATATAAACAGGTGTGTTCCACTGGCTCTGTTTCGGTTTCTTTCTGTAAAAGAGAGACCAGTACGAGAATTTCAAATAAGCAGCATCAGCCAAATGCCAGTGCTGATTAAATGAGAAAGTAAATATCAATTACTAATTTAAAAAATGAAGAGAAATCAAGCTTAATCAAGTCATCATGACATCGCTAATCTGTACATAAACACACAAACTCCCCTTTCACAGGTACAAAAAATTGACACTTTATCCTCAACATGAACTCCTCGTTCTGCTGAAAAGATCTGCTTGTCATAACTTTAAACCCCACAATTCCTCACTTCAGAGCATTACTGCAAACACCAGCACCTTGTTAGGGTCTAACACAGCAGTCTTCTTGTGTGACAAGCTAATTATTCCTCGCTTCATTATTTAATCATATCATGCTGAATCTGGGTACCACTCTGTAAACATTCTTTAGAGCATGCTTAGGGTGCACAAGACTTTCCTAAGTAGGTCGATCATGGTCCTTGGGGAAACCGAGAACGCGCGAGAGAGAACATCGTATTTTGCCTAGAGCAAAAAGGAGTAGTACACACGGAAACTTGCAATCTATTTACTCTAAGATGGAGGGCTTGTACGCGTTTGAAACTCAGACTTCTTTGGATCATCTGAGCTTTCATGAACGAGGGGACGTTGGTGAAATATTCTAGTAATGTGAGTTGTAATGTGGAGGTCTTAAGTGGTGAGCATTAATGAAGGATGTGTAATTCGTTACTACTTTTTCAAGTCCATTTTCCTTTTTTTTTTTCTGATGTCCACTTCTGAGGTTTGTGTGGATTTCTGTACCAAAGATAGTTGTAATGCCTGTCCAAGCTGAAAAACTCCTCATAACAGAATTTATCATTTTTCTTTCCATTTATATGCATAAGTGTTCTGCACAGCGATCCATTATCTGAAACAGTCCTGGTTATATTTAATTCACACAAACAGTGACTGACCCAATGCTACCAATACGCAGGGAAAACAGCATCAGGAACAGTACCATGTCGCCGCTCAGTTAATTTGCATAAAGTTCGTCCAGAACGAGAGAGGAGAGAGATAATGTGCGTCAGCGATATGATATGTTAGGCCATATTTACATTTTGTTATCTCTGGCCTCATTGTAGCAATATGACACATTCTATGAAAATTAGCAAAATAAATGAATAAATTCAAACCATTTTGTGTGGTCATCGGTTATGTCACATACACCTCAAATTTCAGCACGCCCTATTTAAAAACATCTTCCCGTGTCCCTGCATTCATATAGATTATATGTTATAATAACAGGCATGGAACATTAGCTACAATTTAACACAATGAAACCTTCACATCAAGTCCAATCTGCTTTCTTATTTAATGCTGTGTAAGAAGAAAACCATCCATCTAGCAGTTATGGCGACAAAGTTATATCGTCACAGCCCTTAACAATACAGAACCAAAGAGTCTACAAAGAACTATATGTTTTTCTGCTCGGAAAAAAAGACTTATAATACAATAAACAATATTAATTCAGTAAGCAATGATTTTACTTATGTCAATGTGTTAATTTAACCTTATTTAATCTAAAATCCCAGCCTATCCCACTGTGCGGAAGGCAGGATTCCCCCTGGACAGGTCGCCACTCCATCAGGGCATACACAAGGACATATACATTCACACACACATTCACACCCAGGGGAAATTTAGCATGTGCAATTGGCCTAACCGAATGTTTTTGGACTGCATGTCGCCTGGCCCTGGTAGCCTGGCCCTGGTCGCCCGGCCAGGGAACTGATATATATATATATATATATATATAATATATATATATATATATATATAATATATATATATATATATATATATATGTATATATATGTATACATGCACACACACACACGTACGATATATGTATATATACATATATGTTTATATATGTAACGTTCCTTTTCATGTAGATTACACAAAATAATAATAATAATAATAATAATAATAATAATAACAACAACACAACAACAACAACAACAACAACAAGCCTGCTTTTTTAGCCGCAACATCGAATATACTAAATGACCATTATAACCTTATGGAGGCATGTGCAGCACAATTAGAATTAAAATGTGAGTTTTAGAGATTAAATATTTCTTTGAAGTATTCCAATGACGCATTTAGTTGTAATTCTTCTGTATATAAATATTTACCTTTACAAACATAGCTATACTTTCACTGAAGTACATAATTTATATACTTTGTCCACATTGAGATCTTATTAGAAGAAAGTGTTGCCATGGGCAGATCATTATTCACCATTTATCCTTCATGCCATTTTCACAGCGACCTGCTTCTTTTGCCTCTGGCATTGTATTAAGGTGTAAAACCCATCTCCAGGTGAGCAGCGTGACTTTGTGCAGGTAAGCAACAGCAGGCAGCGGGGTGTCAGCAGCTACAAGGTGTTAACAGATGCACCTGGCTAGCGGAATCGCATTTCCACATAACGCATGTCATCGTGCTCATTATGCATCGACATCTGCAGCCTACAGCCTGCGGCCTGAACAAGGCTCCGAAACAGACCTGTGGCTTCATTTAAAGAGAGAGAGAAATGAGCACTGAGCTCTAGCTGCCGGTAAGGGCTGTTCTTTTGTGTTGATCTACTAACAGCTGCCCTCATCTCGAATACCAGCGCACTGTTAAGTCATTAAGAGAAAATCTGTGAGACTGGCCTTAGAGGGAAGAAAGGCGGACAGTCAGATAGACAAGTAGAGAGATAAACAGACAGATCTATTTTTAAACAGATTTAGCTCTTTTTGAAACTTAACCTAAGAAAGACAACTCGTTAAGAAGGGTGGATAATGATGATCCTGAATCAAACCAGCAGAGAAATAAGACTGCTCCCAGAGTGCAAACAAGAACACTGCAGTACAGAGACAGACAGACAGACAGACAGACAGATTCATCTTTGAGAGAGAGGAGAAAATCCAACTCCACTCTTACTGCAGATCTGAAAAAAATCCACAGATGTTTCTGTCCATCCTTCTACTGTGAGAAGACAACTCAACACTATGAGTCACTACGAAATTAAAAGAACCAGTCATAAATGAAAAACATTTACAAATTAAACTAAGAAGCTGCTGGTGATCTCAGAATAATGGACTGACCACCCCAGAGTCCAGACCTCAACATCACTGAATGTGTTTGGGATTATTTGGGTTGTGAGAAGCAGAAAAGGTAACCAACTTCTAAGACTGAACTTTGGAGATGTGGAAAAAAAATCTCTGCAGATTTCTTTAAAAACCAAAAGCAAGTCTTCTTAAAAGAATGGAAGCCATAATAAAGACTCGAGTGGACACACTGCATGCCATAAATTGATATTATATTTGGTTGTTCACTTCTGTAAAATCTTTTGTTAAATGTATGTTTTCTGCTTTTTTTCCTGACGCTGAAAAAGAAACTACTTAATGGCCATTATGACTTAAATGTCTCTGACAGTCTGGCACAGAACTGTAGATAGACAGACAGATAGATATATACATACATACAGATCTGTTTTTGAATAAATCTAGGAACAGATATGTCTGAATTCTATTTAAAAAAAAAAAACAGTTCTCAGACAGATGAAGAGGATGATAAATTCTGCCAGTGACAATATTAAATC